ACAGTTCTTCCTTCCCTTTGCAGCTGCTGACAGGGCCAGTATGTGGTAAAATCAAAGCTGGGGTTGATCAGAATTGTGATTCCAGCCTGACTTGTGTTTCTCCTAGTTGAATCAAAGCAAGGAACAAGAGCCACATCAACTCCTGGCAACCTCCCGCTTGTATTACAGGTCAGCACACTGCCAGAGAGCCCTGGCCCAGCCACACTCCAGAGCTCTGCCTTCAAAGCCCGAGTTAAAGCAGCTCTGTCAGTTTTCCTGCAAACAGCTGCTGAATTTAGGGAACTGTCAGGTACTCCCAAACACAAGTATACAAACAGAAGCTCTGAAACAGTTTCACTGCTCTTGCAGTCATTCCCTGGGTTTCAGCCCCCCATTGGCAGGGACGGGTCACTCAGGCCAGACACAAGTGCCTCATGGAGTCCAGCTACCTTCCGAAAAGTACTGTATTGTTTTTGTAAGTGGTAAGTTGTTGGGTTCCTGCTAGTGTTAAATCTGACATAAGAGCTCTCTAATGTGCCCTCCCAGGTTGATGCAGGTACAGATCCTTGCACATACCAGCAGCACCTCACAAATACCTGGCATTTAATGAGCCCTTGACAACTCCCAGTTCTCCCTTTGGAACATGCTGAGGGAGTTGAGGGAGCTACAAGTACATACCTGCTCCACACCCCTTGTGCAAGGCATCTTGTCTTCTGAACCACCCTCCCTCTCTCCAGCATCCTCGTTTTCCCAAGGCAGTTTCTTTCCTTTACCCGCACTCAAGACTCTCCTTGGACTCAGTCCTTGTTCTGCACAGGCTCCGTGTGAGCTGGAGCTCTGCAGAGCATCATCCCTCGGGGGACACCCGAGGTAACTGTGTGCACTCCGAGTCCTGCTGCCCATCAGCAGCCAGTCTGTGTCTGCCCCGGGGGGGAAGCGGGACCCCCTGCTGTGACCAGGCGATGGCAAGGGCACACCGTATTCTACAAACCCTTGCTCTACCAGCCTCGGCAAGGTCTTCCTGGCCAGCCTGGCCTGCACAGCGTGCATCACCCCGTCCCCGTTGTCCTCGAGTTCCACGGTGTCCACGGCCTTGAAGAGAAGGGGGGTGTTTCCCGGGCCCATGGCAGAGGCCAGCGCAGCAAACGCCTCCATGGCCGCATGCCGGACGCGGGGCTTGCTGTCCACCAGGGCCGGGGCCAGCCCGAAGGCCAGCTTGGCCAGGTCCATCTCCTCGCCGGGGTAGGTGAGGAGGGCCAGGATGCAGATGTTGACCACCTCCTCGCGGACTCTGGAGTTCTTGTGGCGCAGGAACTGCTGCAGCAGCAGCAAGGCCAGCACCTGCTGGGGCCCCGCTGCCTCCATCAGCTGCAGGAAGAGCCGGCTGTACTCCTGCCGGATGGCCAGCTTGTTGTCGCCCAGCACTTTGGCAGCAGCAGAGACCAGCGGCGTCAGGAAGCCCTGGACGTGGTCACCC